TAACCTGCAAGTGCCACATGGAAACTTCTCCCGAGAAAGAGACGCGTCTGCATTAAATGCACTCAACTACGACCAGAGGTTCAGTTTTTCTCTACTGAGAATAAGGAAGCGCCTCACAGGGCATGCTAGACAGCACGTATTTTGAAACATGGGATACTGTAATTATTTCTATTCCATTTTAAGCATACAACATCAATAGTCAAGCAGCAAATACTCCCTCCACGGTAAACTGGAGGAAGAGCCAGATAGCTTGTTTAAAATTCAACACGTCAGCCAGAAAAAATGCAGCCAGAGAGAAAAGGCTGTGCGTTTCTGCTAACTGCGTCGAAAGAAGACAGAAGTCAGACACAGGCCACATCAGAGGTCACAGCGATGACCCAGGGTGAATCCTGCCCAGCCAGCTGGCAGAAACCCACATCCTCACTGCTGGGGCCAAGACCCCGCAGCCAACAGCCCGCACCTTGCCCTGTACCCAAGTGCCATTAAGGCAGCAAACCTGTCTTCAGCTTTCCTTCCTTCTGGGGAATAAAGTGACTTCTCTGCTTCGTATGGCGCGGGGAAGTGAATTTATTGATACTTCTAAGTGTGCCAGTATTGCAGTGGTATTATAGTGCCTAGAGAGAGAACTAATACCCTGAGCTTTCCAGACTGTATACGAAACTGATTCTTTTTATGTTACACCCATACGTAAATTCAGGCTGGGAAGCTTGACCATAGTTTTCCCTAACATTAATGAAAGGGCCTAGCTGAACTATGGACTTGAATATATTAGAGTGATTATTAATGATATCTCTTAAAAACACTGATGTTACTCTGCACTCAAACCAGCATTAACTCCAACCCAGCTCTGGCCAGCATTTCTAAAGCACAGTTGTCTGGGGAACACACAACTAACAAAGCGAGGCAGCACAGATATCTGTGGATATGGTTACTACCAGGTTTCCAACACTGAATAGGAACGACAATGGTCTTCTGCTGTTCAGTCCAGCAAGCTCACGTACACTCTTTGAACCTTTAGGCATCATTTAGGTCCTCATACTTACATACAAATCACAACATTATTTTCACATGCATGAGACAAAGGTATATATATACACCCAGCAAAGAATTTTCAAGAACTCAGAAGAATAACTTTTCTGCTATGCATTTCTGCAAGTCTTGAGAAGAATTTCCAAAGCATTTCATGTCACAGCGAGTTGGTTGTACATATACCAGAACTCGTGATAAGCAGCTTAGGAAGAAATAAATGCAGATAAAAGGACAATATGTTCCACCACTATGAAAACCAAAATTAAAAATGCCAAGAGCTTTCTGGCCAGCTCACAAGACATCTTTACATCCACACTATTGTACAGGTCCCTATTAACCTTCACGCTTTGCACTCTGAATTGCCGAGTGCTTCATGCCCACTGTGAAGGCAACGGCAGCGCTCCTTGTGATGGTGTAATCTCCCATGGCTGCTTTGTACTGACTGCTTTTACTCTAGCATAATACTTTTTTGAGAACAAATTAACCATAATATGCTTATTTCCTCCAAATGATACTGAAAAGCCAATAGGTGCCCCAATATACTCTTGCTTGCACTCCAGTACAATTACATGATCCATGGGCTTTTGTGGCACACATTTCTTTTTGGTGTGGGCATTGAAAACTTGTAATTTGTTATCAATGGAGTTGCTTGTGATGGAAAAGTATCATTGACTGCCAGAGGGGTTTCTTCTACTCATTTTCCTCATGACTTAGGATGTAATGGCCTTTTTTCCTTCAGTCTTACATACATTAAAACTTTGTCTTTTGTTAGTTGATACAAAAATATACACGTCTACCAGTTACCTTTTATTAAATGTGACTGATTACATGTTTTGAAAGTCAGGTGTCCGGTCTCCTCAAGGCTGGAGGAGGCTCCTTTTCATTCTGCCCTGTCTCTTTCACAAAGCTGACATTTAGAAATAGATGCTTTTCAAAACATCCTTTTACAGATCATCCAGGAGAGTTTTCTGATTTCACACAGGATCTTCATTGTGCTTTCAACTTCTACTGGTTTTTACTCTTGCAATTTTTGTTCACGAAATCATGCTGCTAAATTCTGCTCATAATTCTGCTAAAGCCATGCATGAACAAAAATATCAAAAATAAGGATTTTTTAACGCTGTTTGAAATAGATGTCTTTGCTTGTGTTCCTCAGAATTGCAGGAAGTAGTAATAAAAATGGATCAAGCTGAGTCATGCCAGTAAGAAACTCAAGGGAGTGAAGAAGAGCGGCCTGAACTCCATCCTGGCAGCTGCTGCTGGTGATAAACCCAGCGATGAAGTTTGCTGTGTAAAGAAGATGATGGACTTTATCTGTAAGAACTTGGGATGGCCCCTCTGACAGACAGAGAGAGATGCTTTTAAAAGGTGTAGATCTGTCCAAGCAACTTCGGAGGGACCTGACGTTTTGAACGTAAGCATCCTCCTTTTAGCTGTTAAATATCGCAGTTTATCTTCTGTTTATCTTGTCTGAAATCTTACTCTGCTGTTAATGATATCCTGATTTTCCTTTAAAAATGTCATGGCTGTTTGATTTTTATAGATTGATAACTACACAAATCTACTGTTGCAATCATTCCCTCTCCTCTGCATTTATAGCCTTGCATCCATTAGGTCTGCCTATATATATTCAAATAGGCACTTCAATCTCTGAATTTCTTGACAGAACAATCTAATTTTTATAATTTACTTCTTTTTTTTATAGTAGCGACACTTCATTCCCAGTAAATTACCAATTTGTTGTTATCAGTGAGTGCAGTAATACAGCTCAACACTATTCACTGAGAAGCAGCAAGAATCCTCCTTTTACTTGACAATGTAATAAAACCCATGTGATGTCAGGAAGTCACATAAAAATTCTTGAGACAGCACTGATTTGCAGCATCTGAAGGACGCAGGGGTCAAAAGTGAAAGCCCACTGGAATGGTGCAATGCCATCAGTGTCAAATATTAAAGGCTTTGTGGTAAATATTTCTCAGATCTATACGTGATAGTCTACATCATGTTAATTATAGCAGAATAATTTGGCTCAAATAAGCACACAGAATTAGTTTTTGTAGTGTGATAACTGGATATCTTTGTGTAATGATTACTACATTCCTTAAAACTGTGAGGATATTTAATACTAAAAACCTGGAGACATGTTTCCCTTCAGTACTGCTTAAAATTGTAGAGGGGTGAAAGAAAGACTTACACTGAACTGAAATTTTTTTTAAAGTGAACATAACCAGATTGAATTGAACTGAAACAGAAATTTTTGGTTGTATTTTGTCCAGAGAAAAGAAGAGGCAGAAATTTTTCATGGAAAAATTTGTGTTAAAAAATTGAGTGAAATGCCTGTAGTTTTGGTTGGTTGGTTTGGTTTTTTTTAACTATACCATTCTCCCTGCACGTTTTCTTTCTATCTAAAGCTACTTGCCAAATTCAACATATGCTGATAAATGATTTCACTCTCAATACAACTCCAAAAGTGGCTTTTAGCAAAGCCACTGTCCCTCAGTTAAATGCCATTCCCCTGTCGTCTGTGAACAAGCAGAGAAGTGCTGCTGGATGGGACTGGAGGGACCCAGCTTCAGGTGTGTCCTCTTCCTGGTGGACTACCAAGATCTCTGGGTTCGTGTGGATGGTTTTGCAGTCAAACACCCAACCATGCACGAGGACGTGCAAATCCTGCACGCACACATAGGTGGTGCACGGCAGGTCTAGCCACGTCCTTAGGGCTGGGTGCCTCACAGCTGAGAAGTGAAGGGTTTCTGCATCCCACTGAGCCCCAAGAGATGCTGCATGCACATATGTGGTGAGCAGTGAGCACAGGTAAAGTTAACCTGGCTGACTCTATTCTTAAGTGCATTCAAAGTGCTCACAAAATCCACTGCCACGAAGAAGTGGTCAAGAAAGCTACCACCTCTTGGGTGCTTGCTAAGGTATCCAAGAGGGGGAATGGGTGATGAAAGCAACAGTTTTGGACTCTCCTCAGGCAGTTTACAGACACTGCATGGAAACAGCTCTCAGAAACGCAGCAATGGCTTCTTGCTGAAAGTAAGCAAGGAGCACCTTCCTGAGCCATCTCTCAGCCATACTTTCTGAATGACAGCCTGGTCCATTGAGTTTGTATCATGAACCATTTCCTTCTCAAGGGCTCTTTCCATACATCAGGAGCCCCATGCCCTTCTCAAATGCTGAGACTGCCGCCAGATGACAATCAATACAGTTCAGTCAGCCCTAGAATTATATCTGGTATTTGATAAAGGCTTTGCTAGAAGAAGAAAAACATACCTTTCAGATATACCTTTTTAGTAGTTTTCAAGTCACAATTCCATCTGTGGAAAAATATTAGTATACTTGCATTCACACTACCCTTATAGCTCTGCTAGCCAAAGATTCATGTCAAGGAAAACGGAGTAAACAAACCAAACAAAGTGTTCCAGTCAACCTGCAATGATTTCCCTAGCAGATTTCCCATCATCAGAAGATTTCATAATGTCTGCATTTAAACTCTAACACAGGCTAAACCAAATTTTTCACATCTTGAAATCCCTCAGAAAACTTAATTTCCCTTCTCCATGTGGCTTTCTAGACTAAGCAAAATTAGGCCCAGTGGTCTAAAAGCAATAGCTCTGTGTTTCATAATCTCGAGTTATCTGATGCCTCACTGGCCCCACTGTTCTGAAGACTCTCCAAAAGCCCTCAGACTTGATATTATTTTCCTCCATGATTTCACACAGTTTCACAAACCTCAATTGCATTCCTTGTCTTTAAAAGACATACTATAAAAACGCACTTGTTTTCATTTGCTTATGCCTTGCAGCTCCAGCTTCCCCTGCAACATGAACTGGAGCCTGATGGATGGTGGGAATGTCACCTGTGATCTCCTGGGAGCACAGAGAAGTTCCAGGAGGAACTGGAGATCCACGCCCAGTCAGAAACTTATGATATCATAGGAATAACTGAAACATGACTGGAGGATCACGATGGATGGCTATAGGCTGTTTCGTAAAGACAGGCAGGGAAGAAGAGGCAGAGTCATCATGCTCTATGTTAAGGAGAACCTTGAATGTATAGAAGTCAACCACGGTGATTGTGGAAGCCTTATCGAATGCCTCTGGGTCAATAACAGAGAGGTTGTCTCCAAGGGGGATCTTACAGTAGGCATCTGCTACCGACCTCCAAACCAAGATGATAAGGCCAAAGAAGCAATATTTGGGTCACTTAAGCAAGCTTTGGGTCAAGAAAACCTGGTTCTTATGGGTGACTTCAACTACCCAGACATTTGTTGGAAGAACAATACAGCAGCTCACGTCATCCATCAAGTTCCTGGAATGCGTAGAAGACTCTTTCCTCATACAGATGTGCCAACCAGGACTGAGGGACTGCTGGACTTGCTATTCACAAACCAAGAAAACCTGCTTTGTAATATCTCGGTTAGTGATAGCCTTGGCTGCAGTGATCACAATACTGTGGAGTTTTCCCTAACCTTCCCAGTGCTCCTGCTGAGCACACTGAAGGTTAGTACTAAGACAAAGGTTTTAGATTTTAGAAGAACAAACTTCAGCTCACTCAGAGCTCAATTCAGAGGGATTTCATGGGAAGCTTCCATGGAGGATAAAGGAGCTAGCGAGCGCTGGGAGTTTTTCAAGAATGCTCTCCTGGAAGCACAAAAACAGCTCCTCCCCTTTAAAGGTAAGGGAAGTAGGCAGAGTAAGAGATCCCCTTGGCTTAACTGTGAGCTTCTGAGTCTGCTCAAAACCAAAGGAGAAGCGTACCAGAGATGGAAAAGCAGACGAATACCTGTTGAGAACTACAAGGGCATTGCCAGGGCATGCAGAGATGCAGTTAGAAAAGCAAAAGCTCAGCTCAAATTGAAATTGGCCAGAGATGTCAAAAACTACAAGAAAGGGTTATTCAGGTATGTAAACAACAAGCAGAAACAGAAGGAAAATTATTGGCCCACTGTTAAACAGGAGAGGTGAATTAGTCACCAACAACGCTGAAAAAGCAGAGGTTCTTAACACTTTCTTCACCTCTGTCTTTACCAGCACTGTTGGGCCCCAGGCCTTGGGAACAAAAATCCAGGTTGATGCAAACACAGACCCACCATCAGTGAAGGAAGAGTTGGTATGTGAACTATTACAGGAACTTGACCCCTACAAATCGATGGGCCCTGACAATATCCACCCAAGGGTGTTAAGAGAGCTGGCTGATGTTGTGAGGCTGCTCTCCATAATCTTTGAGAAGTTGTGGAGATCGGGGGACATCCCAGAAGACTGGAAGAAAGCTAATGTCATCCCTACCTACAAGAAGGGCTTAAAGGAGGATCCAGGTAATTATAGGCCCATCAGTCTTACTTCAGTCCCTTGGAACGTTATGGAACAAATCCTTCTGGGGGCTGTCACAAGTCAAATGAAGCATGTGATTGGGAAAAGCCAGCACAGATTCACCAAGGGCAAATCATGCTTGACAGACCTGATCACCTTCTACAACAAAGTAACCTGCTCGGTTGATGTGGGACGAGCGGTGGACATCGTCTACCTGGATTTCTCCAAGGCTTTCGATACGTTTTCCCACAGCCTCCTCCTGGAGAAACTGGTGCATTACAGTCTAGATAAGTGGTCCGTGCAGTGGGTGGGGAACTGGCCAACAGGCCACACCCGGAGGGTGGTGGTAAATAGCTCCTTTTCAAACTGGCAACCTGTCACAAGTGGGGTCCCCCAGGGATCAATATTGGGCCCAACGCTGTTTAATATCTTCAT